TGTTTTGAACTTTTAAAATATTGCACTGTAAAAACAGAAGCTGCACTTCATATTAGTGACAAACTTTGGTGGTTTTTGACGAGCTACTTTAATTTTTGCCTTCTACTTTTCATTTAAAATAGGTTTCCATTCTCGGCAGATTTCTAAGCTTCTTCTTCTACATATTAAAAAAGCTGTTAAACATCTGAGTGGCGTACTACCGCTACTAGTGGTGAGAAAGTGTATTGCACCTTCTTCAAAATCAATGCGGTCCCGTGGCCCTCTGCGGCCCAAAGTTAAAAACTGTTGTTCTTTTGAGGCCCTCAAGGTGGCACACGCGGCCTAATTGTGGGCCGCGGCCCATGGGTTAAGAATCTCTGCATCTGCACTCTTCCCACAAACTCACTCATTTTTTTCCATTACATGTTTTACCGTCTCTCTTTGTCCTCCCTCCTACACCTATGTGCATWTCAGTAGTGAGGTATGATGCCCATTGAGAAACACTTCAGCACGCTGCAGATGTTGGGAAYCAATCCCTCAATCGTCCAGCTGGTAGACCACCTCCACTGGACCAAAGGAGATGAAAAKAATTGTTGCCTGTCGACTAAAGAGTGTATAGATTTGTCTGAATGGCGGTGGTTTTTAAAGAAAATGAAAGAAGCTGACGGCAAAAATGCAACAAAAAGACATGTAACATACTTGAGCTGACATAAATTCTAATTATTTTGACACAAACTCAAAATGCGATATTATTTACATAATATGTGACTTGTTGCTTTTACAGAAATTACAGATTAGTGAAAACGCTGCACACATCTGAGCTGAAGTTCTCTTATGTTGTGAACTGCATCAACAAMAGTTTATAAAAGCAGCCAGTATGAAGGCATGAGCATAAAAAGACTTTCTGTAGGTCAATGCAAGCATAGAGACGTTTAAAGTGGCCAATAAGAGAAACACAGACCTCGGCTGAGTTTCATCCACCTTTTTTACCTGAACTGTTATTGATCTCTTCAATTCCCCCCCCCACCTCCACCAGTTTGAAAAGACAACTCAATAAAAGCTGTTACCTGGAGGTAAGGGACAACTTTGCAAAGAGTGTTCCCAAAGAACCACGTCTCTGTGATGTCGACCACAAGGCTGGCGGGCAGGCAGATGATGGTGACCATCACATCCGCGAAAGAAAGGTTCACAATGAAGTAGTTGGTCACGGTGCGCATGTGTCGATTCTTCCACACTGCGAAGCAAACTGAGAGGGAGAGATGTTCTGTCAGAAGGCAGTCCAAAGGCTCAAAATTTTATGTGAACGACTGACAAGTGAAGCACGCTGTCAATCACGGGGATGGAATTAACATTTCATTGCATTCCTGTTWACACACTTGTTTAAGCTGCAAAATATTCATTCACAAAAAAATCTATCCGGATTTAATTATTTAAACTATCTATATCAAATACTATGCATTTTCATAGAAAAAAAGGAGGACAGGCAGAACTTTTGCTAAATTTTTGAACTTTTAAACCACTCCTAACCACGCTGCMAAAGAATCATCCTTTCTTGTAATCTTTTAAAGCGATGCTGATCAATAGCTGCCCATGTTTTTTTTTTTTCAGGCTTTCTGCTCAAAACCACTTAAAGAGATTGCCTTCTTCTTGGAAGCAAAGTCTCAAAAATGAGAAACGGTGTAAGTCTTTTGCATGGAAATGTAAAACAATTTTAAAGCCACATTTTAATTAGAAAAAAAATCTAGATAACTCCTATTTTGCTTCATAAATAAAAAATTACAAATGTGGAATTTTAAAGTGTACCAAGTGTAAGATTATAAAATTAACATTTTATCACACAGGCTCTGATTTTTTCTAATTAACAAAAAAAAGGTAAATATTGTTTAATTTGCAGTGTTTAATTGCTGCTTTTAATAGTCACTGCTTCCAGCTACTTTGAATCAAAACTGTGCTTCAATTAAAAACCTGAGCTTGACCCACAAGGTCAAAATGTCATTAATGGTTTTAAATTTAATTTTAGATTTAGTTTATTCCCCTTCAGCTGCAGTAGTTTTTGAAGTAAACAAATGTGAGCTTTCATGCACCATGCTGAGTTTGTGCCAGCAGGAATTTTTCAAGCTTTTCGCAACAAAACCAAATAAATAAATAAATAAATAAATAAATAAATAAGTAAAACTGAGCCTTTTCAAATTACCCTCCATGACCTTGAAATATATACAGCAGGTGAGCACTGTGTGGTCTGAGGAACAAAGAAAAAAAAAAGAAAGAAAGAAATGTTTGACAGATGGAGCCAAAGTTTCATCTATATTCTATATTACTGGCATCCAGGGCATTAGAGGACCGTGTGTGTGCAGATCATGTTTGACAGTCTGTGACAAGGACAGCAAAAGGTGTCAGCTGAAACTAAGTTATTTTCAACTTTGATGGAATCCACCTGCACTTGCTGGTCAAACATTTTCTTTTTAATAAAAGGAGACATATCCTGCTTGTACATCCTTCTTGTTCACATTTGAATTATTCAGTTTGGGTCTATATGAAGTGGAAATGCAATGCTTTGGTCTGAATTCCTCCTTATTGTAACTCCACAATCCCCCCTTTCACCTATAGTCTGAGGTGTCTCAGATCAACTCATTTTGAGGCTGTCTCTTTAAATCCAAATGAGGGGCTTCACCTTCCAGCTTCTTTAAAAAATAAAAAAGATGTCTTGGCAGTACACTTTTAGAGACTCCAAGTACACACACAAAAAATGCTTTTACAGGCTAAAAATGTAGATTTTACCTGACATGTCCCCTTTAAACATATCAAACAATTCTTGTTCAGATAAAAGAAACCATCTATTTCTTGTGGTTCTCTTGAACAAAACCACTATTTTATTCACAAACATATTTATAAGGACTGAATGCATCAGAACATTTTTTAAGAGGAAACAATTCTTAAATTCATCTGACTGTAAACAAGAGGTGCTTGATATTAAAGCAGCAATAAAAAGAAAACAAATCAGTGACATTTCATCATATAATGTTAAGGATAATAACCATCTGTCAACTTTTATAGAAAAAAATATGCTACATACCATATTTAAAAAGAAGTTCCAGTAAAGTGGACAACACTTACGTTGATTCCTGAAGTTGGGGTCGTTGTGATTCAGTGCTCTTATTACTGAATGACAAGGAACACTTCAGTGGATTGTGACTAGACTACTTGCAAAATTTAAAAAGATCAACTTGTATTTTTGGGCAAACATGATTAAGGCTGCAATTGTGYGCCTGCATTTTCCGACTTAGATTAAAACCTAAAATCACTCAAAAAAGAAAAAAAAGGTCTTAGCTAATCAAAACATTTGTTTCAAAAAACGTCTGATCTGTTTTATATTAACAGTTACTCGAAATTAGAATGTATATCTTGTTTTTGTTCTAGTAAGCAAAGCTTCTGCATGAATAAAACCCTTTCAGAAAATTTGTACCATCTTAAAAAACATCTATAAAAGAATGAAAGCAAATAAATCTATTGATGAAAGGCTGTTCGTAGTTCCATGTTTGCAATGCACTTCTCAAATTGTTTAAAAAGAAAATTAAATCTTAGAACCCATAGTTAGACTCTACAACAGGGCCTACAAAATTCATAAAAAAAACTTCCTGGTTGGACTCATCACTGTACAGTTCTTTCATTGTCTGATGCCATGACTTTTCAGAATTATGTTTTGTATRGTGGTATTAATTTATATTTTCAGATCTTCCAAGGTGCCAATTATGGAACTCTCTGTGCATTGCTGCCCAAATCAAATTCTGGAAGTGGTCATTCAACTAGATCTGTTACAAAAGGACAACTGATATTACCGGGTACCAACTTTTAAAAATTGTTACGGCCAGAGATCTTTCTTCTATGTTTATACTAAAGCATGGAATGACAT